TGCTGGCTAGAGCATGTCCATTCACTGTCAGATACATTTACAATTGTGTTGCTATTGCCGCTGTATGTATGTATGTATGTACGTCTGACTGAGTTTGGTTTTACGCCGCTTTTAGCAATATTCCAGCAACATCACGGCGGGGACACCAGAAATAGGCTTCACACATTGTGCCCATGTGGGGATTTCAGACCCGGGTCTTCGGCGTGACGAACCATTAGGCTACCCACCGCCTCGTATGTATGTATGTATGTATGTATGTATGTATGTATGTATGTATGTATGTATGTATGTATGTATGTATGTATGTATGTATGTATGTATGTATGTATGTATGTATGTATGTATGTATGTATATGTATGTATGTATGTATGTATGTATGTATGTATGTATGTATGTATGTATGTATGTATGTATGTATGTATGTATGTATGTATGTATGTATGTATGTATGTATGTATGTATGGATGTATGTATGTATGGATGGATGGATGGATGGATGAATGTATGTATGTATTTTACGTATGCGTGTAAATCACTGACTCAACGCGATTAGGACATGCTGGCCTGTTCTACTCAGTGTATCAGTGCATATATGTGGTACATATTCCAGTTCTCTGTGTGTAACGTGACATAATATGATATATATGTGGTATATATACCGATTGTCCTCTTGTGTATGTGTGTGTGACGTGACATCACATAAATGTGGTATATATACCAATTGTTCTGTGTGTGTTACGTGTCATGTATGTATGTGGTATATATACCAATTTCCCTCTCTGTCTTTGTTACGTGACATGATATGTGGTATATATACCAACTGTCTTCTTTCTGCGTGTGAGTGTTACTTGACATAATATATAGATGGTATATATACCAATTGTCCTCTCTCTGTGTGTTACGTGACATGATATATGTGTGTTATATATTCCAATTGTTCTGTATATACCCACCATGTGGATGGGTGCTCTGTGCTCGGTGTGTGTGTTTGACGTGCTATGACATATATGTGGTATATATGGCAGTTGACCTCTCTCTGTGTGTTACGTGACACGACATATATGTGGTATCTAAACCAATTGTTCTACTTTTAACCACCTTGTGGATGGGTGCTTTGTGCTGGGTGTGGATGTTTTACAGCAGTGTTTTAGGACATCAGTATCAGGTTGCGACATCTATGTTGCGACATCTCAGGACAAGTGTGAAAGATGATAATGTTGCAGAATGGATTATACTCCGCGTTGCCGTACCTAGTGTTCCGGGGTGCCGTGGTGCTGACCAGTGGGATGTCTGACTGTCTGGTGTCCAGGAAACTATTAAGTGTTGGTGCTGCCAGGAAGTTCCCCAATACTCTAGGTAATCTCTGTCTTTGTTCTATGGAGGTAATGGATCCGAATATTTGATTTGGGCAGGAAGAAGGCTCGTGTGTCACGTAGAAGCTTAGTCTGTCATACAGACCCTGAAGTAAATATATCCAAGAAAGCCCACGCAAGTCTAGAAAATGTGGCAAGTCTAGATTTCCTCAGCTTCTGAAAATGAAGAAAGTCTCAGGGCTCCTTTTCATTATATATTTTTTTTTTTACTATGAATTTTTTTTCAGTAAAACATGTTCATTTCAGAGACTAGTTGTTAGTCTAGTAGAAGCTGAAAATGTCCCAAACGAAGAAGCTAAAATACCATTACATGGGAAGTGCGTGTGATGAATGTCCATATTAGCAATAGTGTAGTGTCGGGAATACTCCTCTTATTGTCTCAATTGTTATGCTTGACTTTGCTCTGAATAGCATTCAGATGTTACTCCAATCTCCAACTAACTAACTAACTAACTCACTCACTCACTCACTCACTCACTCACTCACTCACTCACTCACTCACTCACTCACTCACTCACTCACTCACTCACTCACTCACTCACTCACTCACTCACTCCCACTCACTCACTCACTCACTCACTCACTCACTCACTCACTCACTCACTCACTCACGGGTTCGAATCCCGATTTGGTATAACAACACCCGTTCCAGTGTTGTAAATGTTTCATATGCGGAGATTTCTTAAGATTTTCGGTGTGTTTTCACCCGATTTTCTGATATCCAGTTTTGTTAATATGTGTCTGAGAGACTTTTGGTGACTGACTATCTCAATCAGGACGTTAGCATGGAATGGGATTTTAAACGTATAGTATATTATCCATACATATCCGATCATGACAACCATTTAAAGGGTCACTGACTTTGCAAAACACAACACAACAAAAACGATGGTTCCTTCTTTTTACTGACAATTTCTCTCCAAACGTAACTCGACAATTGACATGACAATTGTATTAACAATTGAAATGGTATTCCGTAAGTGCACCACAAGGCATATAAAGGTGTACCGTTTTTATTCACAATATGTCCCAAAGAAACTGAATTAGAACCTTTTCAATCAGTTTGCCATGCATCACATCAACACGGATGCATTTTTGTTAATGTTGTTTTAAAGATGGGGTGACATTTTATACAGATATTGGGTAAATGTACATTTAACAGATGTAAACAATTTATCAATGTTTTGGAAATCAACACTAGCTATTTATATTAATGCACAAAATAATATAAAAACATAACTCAAAATAGATTTCCTCCTTTTCTCAAATTTAGTATCACAGAAAATATGGATCTTCTTTTTATAAGTGTTTACGGTTAGGTTCCACAAAATAAAATACGTTCTTCAGAAATCTAGTGAATTCTGTGGGATTATTTTAAGTGTCGCGGCAAATTGAGTGTTCATACAAAAATACTAATGAATAAAATGCAACATCCACAACACAAACAAGTAATGTTTAATAGAGCTGCTGCCATATTGCACAAAAATGGTTCTATATCATTAGTATAAAGAAAAGAAAGCTCAAAACTAATTAGAATGTATCCGTGTACAACAACATCAGGAACTACGGTTTTGAGATTCTTAGTATAATAATGACGTCTTCAATTACCAGTAAAGTGAACTTCTTCATCTAAAACGTAACATTGGTCACTAGTAATAAGATTCATGGGCAGTCAAGTGAAAATGAAGACGTCAGTTTACCTTTTTTAATGCAAAGGTAACAATCGGCTCCAACAAAAGCATTAAAAACAGTATCAACCATATCAAACAAACATTTGTTATTAACATTAAATCAAACTTATTCTATTCATATCGTCAGTCTTGACTCAGAAGTTGAACATAAGTATTCGAAGGAAGATTTCGAACTTTGACTTCTTCCGCTATATCGTCTCTGATATATAAAAATGTCTTGTTCTGGCATCCTCTCAAGGTCCCCTCTTCTCTCTCATTCATTTGTATTATCAGAGAGTAGGTACATAAATCAACAAAAAAAACAGCGACGTTCTGCATCTGTCACTCAAAACCCGGGCTCATTGACACAGACTTGTCTCACAAATGTATGTTTTGGTGTGTTTTTTTATGTTCAAATTTTTTTAGCATTACCCTATCGACAACAAAATGATACAAGAAGTATTTAATGGTCAAACGGATAAAAGGACAAAATGGTTTCATAGGAGATAGCATCCATTACTATCCTGAATCAATTACAACCTGGATCTTGGTTTGATTATACATTTGACTATATTCATTCGATTAACTTTGAAACCAATACTTTTTGGTCAAGAGGCATCTACGGCTGTGATATGGACCAGGGTTTTACATGACGCGTGATTCCTGCGTATTTGACGCAACAATTTTGTAAATGACTCTTAAAATATTATCATACGAGTCAAGCTTGACGCAAGTTTTATGGGTGGCCCTCACAATTCAGTTCAATAAAATCGATTTGATAAGCAAAAAAAGATATTGTTCGATGATAGTTTAACTTTTACAGAGCTGTCAGATTGTTTTAGAGTACTCAGAGGAGACAGTAATCGTGGCTTTTTGAATTGAACAATGCTGTAGTTTCATTTGGTGGTGTTACATACATGCGATTCATACTTGTCATATGCGAGCCAACATATTATTTATCTTTCTAGTATTGTTTCGTTTAATTCTTTGGGGTGAGATATTAGGGAGGGGAGGAAATTCATAAAAGAAATTCATAATCAGAGATTCACGTTTCAAATAGATTCAGATATATCCTCATCCCTAATCATAAAAACAATAATATTCTGAACCAAACCCACATCAACATCTCCAAATGCATCTTACCTAATTGCCTATCAAATGTACTTTCAAGCAAATCACCTATAGCAAGTTCCTTATTCTTCGAACACGCTAGATCACATTTCTTTATCAATTATGCGGAACGGCCATTCATAATCTCTGCACATATTTAACATTTAAGCCAATGTCCCAAAACAGATGAACTTCATGTGATCCTGATGTCTACCAGTGTAGAGCTGTGACTGTAGCCTCAGTATCAATTCCCTTCAGTACTCATGTATGGCGTCTTCGAGAAGCTTCTTTTTCCAGTCTTCCATCTGTAGATCCGGTCCACTCACGAGTTTCATTTCAACTCTCTTTGGGCTACTATAAACTGCAAATACAGGCCACATCTTTCTCTTGTACCCAGCACTATGTTGTGGCTTGCTGTCAGCAATACATCCAGTTCCCAACACTTCTCTTTTGTTGCTGTCCAGGAAGGATACCGCCATCTTGTCAGTATCAACAAGAACTCCGTACATTACTGTCACGGATGTTCCTGCCTTATTCTCGAACACTTCAGATTTTGCTATATCCTCTCCATTAAAAGCTATAAACCTCCTCACATTGTTCTCATCATTTGATAGGCACAGACTGCATGAATTAGGCTTATCGCCGATAAAATGACTACTGTCAATGATATCCTCTCCACACACCCCGACCTCCAACACAAGGTCTAGATCACCCAGAGGTTTGTCCAGTTCCACATCCGCCTCCACCTCCCAGTACACCAGGCTGCTAGAGGGCAGTGGGGAGGTGCTGCAGGTGCCTCTGTAATTCTTCAACATCTTCCCACTGGTGCCCAGTACCTCCATTCCTCGCCATTCAGGATGTTGGGTGTTGACGAGAAGGCCTTCTGTCATTAGTGTGCCTTCTGTAAAGGTTTACTCTGTCGGAATCAAACATCATCTTTGGACCTGTCAGAGGGTGAGACAAAATACAATGTTTATAGATAACAGTTAATATCTATCACATATATCGCCTATAATATTACGCTTGTTTTAGCAGCCTCAGACATATACATATTTTGTCATATAAATAATCGAATCACAAAGCCCTATATGCCTACCTCACTGGGAATCGTATCCCGACCTCAGTTTGAATCGTATCCTGCTCTACCTCCACCCCTATGGTTGTTCTTTAACTTCTTTTCAAACTGATTTTGTAGCCATACGTACACTTTGTGTAAGGTCAATATTCACGCACGATGAACTGAATGTCAACCTTGGGCTTAAGCAAAAATTACATTAAATGAAATGTTTCAATACCAAACCATATTGCCTATGTTACTTCATAATAGCTAAAACAAGCTAAAAAGCTAAAAGCTAGGCCTTTGTCACCTGTGTGTTTTGTACAGGTTTACTCTGTCGGAATCAAACATCATCCTTGAACCTGTCAGAGGATAAGACAAGATACAATGTCTATAAATAAAAGTTACTATCCAGCATACATCGCGTATGTTATTACGCTTGTTTTAACAGCCTTAGACAAACACACATTCAGTCGTCCTGGTGGTATCATATATAAGCGGGCTGATTTCGTCACGCCGAAAGTCCTAGTTCTATTCCCGACACTCGTGCCTAAATATCGGATGTTACAACTCATAGCATGTATCATTATTGTGATAGTGGAGTTTTTAAAAACTATAACATTTTATGACTATCCTTACAGTCGAGCTGTAAATAATAACTCGTTTATACATAACAAGTGAACAGGTCATATTACACTTCCTTGCTTAGTTGTCCTTGAATACATTGTATACTTGGCGGATTACAGTCGAGCTGTAAATAATAACTCATTTATACATAACAAGTGAACAGGTCATGTTACACTTCCTTGCTTAGTTGTCCTGGAATATGCTTAAACCTTAGAGGAAAATATACTTACATACAACTACATGTCGCGCTCTGTTCACTGCCCCAAGCACATGCAGACACGTGCCTTTGTCGTAGCCTGGAAAAAATGGTACCTTAAGCGTTACGTTAACACCAGAAAAGGTATACTGCAAGACAATGCATTGATAATTTTCCGGCTGATGCATGTAAAGCAAAAAAATAGAAAAATAATTGTTTTGAATAATTGTGAATGGATAGCAGTATTTATAAGAAATCTCTAAAAAAGATGAGAATTGGGAAAAATTGTAATTATAACAGTTCTACGAAAGATGAAGGAGTTTGTAAGGAAAGAAAGCTTAAAGTTTAATATGAATGATAACTAATTTTGATTTATTCTACTGGAATTGCTTGGGGCTTGTCTGCCAATGCAATGTTACATGCATAACGATTATAAGACGTGGATCGTCCTTCGTGTTTGGATGTTAAATTGGTTGTCGAATAGTGTTCATGGTTAAGATAGAACCCAAGGACAGTTACACCCCATTGTACCCCTGTCGGCGTTAGAAATACTCTTCAGACCAACGAGACCAACCCTGACTTGGTTGATGTCATCGTAACGAGACTGATACTTATGATGTCAATCACTATTGTCTTGTCCAGACTTGATTGTTTACAGGCGGATATAATATAACCCCAGTATTGCGGCGTTACAAACTCACATTTTATGTGTAATGATGAGGAGGCCTATTTAATACTGGTGAAGTGTAAGTGAAACAGTAAAACAATCCAAATTTCAACAAGTGTGAAAGTTACCACACGAGACACACGAAATCAAAAGGTTCTTAGCGAAGCAAATAATGACAAGACAGGGTTTCTGATCATCTACGACTGTATTTTCTACTGAAGAAACTTACCCATGGGGTGCAACTGAATTACGATCCCCTGAAGTCTGGATAAATCCTCCTGCAAAGTCTTCACCTTCTGTTCATTCTGAGAGGCCTCCTTTTCCAGTGCACTGATTAGCTGGGCGGTATAAACAAACAGAGCACTTTCAACATCTGAATATGTTTTAACTCTGACCATCGCTATTAAACATGTTATTTCAGTGACAATAGGTTGAGTGACTTCTTTTTAGTGATAAGCACATCATTTGCGACAGATAAAATGTATTAAATTTATAAACCAATAGAGCTACCGTACGTCTGCGTCTTGCGTCCTTCATAGGTTGAAACATAAACTCCAATTTTAAGGATTTACCGTCTGAGCCTCTCTGTTCTGTGTCTGAAGGTCATGAATATCTGCTTCCAGTTTCATCTGAAGGCCTGAAGAAAACATTAACAGCAGATATAGCCAGGAAATACACAGGGTACAACGCTAGTAGGGCTTTAGACATGTTATCCTTATTCCAAAACATGCTTATTGATGGAACAGGAGTAACCATTAATAGCATGTAAAATACACTTGTTTTTGAATAACATGAACGTATACCGTAGTTGATACAAATATTGTTCTGTCAAAGCTGAAGGCACCTGCGTGAATACTTCGAGGTAGCCTAGATTCGACAGAACCGATGAATTACGAATAATGAATGCATACAAAGGGGAAAACATTCACTTCATGACAACCATAGGTTCGACACAGCAGAGTGTGACTATTACAAATATCCTTCAGTAAACATATACACCCTTCCGACAAACACACTACCCAGAACACACTCGAACAATTGTATCACTATAATTTTCAAATAATAGAAAGAAGGTATATGTACTCATAACAGTTTACATCCTCACCTGATCTGGTTAAAAAGAACGTAAAAAACAAAGCGACAGTTACCTGTTTTAAGTGATGCTTCCATAGGTGATTCCGTCTGGGTAACTGAAGTCATGAAACTACCAAAGGATGATACTAAGGATTTCAAATCCGGTAAACCTTGCTTTGAGAAGACGACACACGGTTCGCATTTGTGAACAGCAGGAACGTCAGCCTTTATACAAGACTCAAAGGCCTGTGTGATGGAACTCTTCACTTTGTGGAGGTGGGAAGGTGAGGCATAGAGGAGAGTCTTGCTGCTGGTGTAGTCAAGGACTGTCTGGCAGCTTGTCTCTGATGACTCCAGGACAGGATGACGACTGCCATTGATCTTCCTCATGGAGTCTAAAAGCTGATCCAGCTCCACAAGCACAGCCTTCTCTCGCTGACCTATCACATCTCTCAGCTCAGAAAAGGTGTGTTGAACGGTGTCTCGAAGGGAAACGGCCTTCTCGTCAATACGTGTTGCTTGTACAATAACTGTTTCTTTTGCTGAAATGATCTTTTCCTTCTTCTCTGAAGCAGATTTTATGTAAGCCTTCAAGACGTCTTGTTCACGACTCAAGAACATATCAGCTGTGTCGGTACCGTGACTGGCGTGATCTTCGTAGAAGCATTGAAAACAGATCAAACAATCACAGTCTTTATCATAGACGTCCAAACGTTGTCCGTGTTTCTCACAGTCGGAATATGATCTTGTCGTTGTACATGGAAGATCAGAAATCCACTTCATTGTGTGATTCCTAGTTGCTTTCACCTCTGAGTGAGATATATGGCAGTGCTCGCAGAAATAGTCCTCACATTCCTGACACCAAGACATTGCTTGGTTTCCATCCACCTTGTTGGTACATTTGAAGTCGGACGGTCTGTGCTTCATTGTCTGGTTGAGGACGTCACCAAGTACAACATCGTCTACTGGGAAACTCCCAACATTTTTATCATGACTCTTCAAGCAGACAGAGCAGTCCAGGGTTGTGACTTCTGGTGACTTGAGACAGTCATCACATACAGGATGTAGACAGGGAAGCAGGTGGGGCTGTGGTCCTCTGTACCTGAAGGAGGTGCTGCACACCACACAATTGGGGAACACAGAGTCTGAATCCATCCTGTAACAAACACATCCATGACCACTCATGATATTACAACTTGGAAGATGTATACGGATCTTTGACGATCATACACCGTTTTAGACCAGAAGATTATCTGAACCTGATCATAGGACTTGAAAGGACTTTATGCCTCTTTGGGCAATATCTATATATTACGGCCAAGTAATCGTACATCTGCAAAATTTATATACACAGTTTATATGTTAACCATTGCAGTAATACGGTATATAATATAATAATATAATACGAAATTTAATATGGTGAGAACTGTATATCTTAATAACTAGTTGACAAATTGACCACCCGTCTTCTGGCTGCTAAATCTTATTAAATCTTGATTTCTGGTGTCCCCGCCCTGATATTTGCTAGGTATAAAATCAAACAATTTAGTTTGACGAGTTGGAAAATGTTTGTCTCAGAGTATCTTTTGGAACAGTGTTTCAGCACAAACTGTGGCACAGAATCGACCACGTTACTACACATGGAACACACGGACTCAACACAAGCTGATTTTGTAAATATCCTTTGATTGGACTACCTGTATGTGCCTCAGTCTACTCACATTTCAGAAAGATATCCTTGAAATGTTTAGTTTTTAACAATATTCCAGCAATATCACGGCAGGGGACACCAGAAATGGGATTCACACATTGTACCCTTGTGGGCAATCGAACCTGAGTGTTTGGCGTAATGAGCGAACGCTTTAACCACTTGGCGACTGATTCTTTTATACAATTGAGGATATCAACCATTTTATATCCGCTGGTGAAGTACAGGTGTCTTAACATAAAAAAAACAATTCGCCACAGGTCTCTTCCAACAGGAAACACGAACTCTTTTGATCCTCCTCTCATAGAAACACATGTCTGTCTTTGTGGGAATTGTAAAATGGATTTATCATGGAAGCACGCATTTGTACTGGTTATTGAGACTGGTCTGACAAATTTTAGGTTTGAATCCTGGTTTCCAGCTTCATCAGCACCACACCCATTCTCATGATTCTAACTACAGTGGTAAATTACTGAGACCAACATCACTACGGGCTTATCGAAACCATGACTGATTGATTGTTGTCTAACGCCGCACTCACCAATATTCCAGCTATATGGCGGCGTTCTGTAACTTAATAATCGAGTCTGGATCAGACAAACTAGTGATCAGCATCATGAGCATCGATCTACGCAATTGGGATACGATGACATGTGTCAACTGTCAAGATCACAATTAGTATAATGTATGCTATATTTTATGTTCGAGGTGTGATAGATTTGGAGTGAGGACTTGCAAGCTGGAGCAGCGATGTAAGCTGTGAGCGATTGTCTGTGTTGGAGATGTGTGTAGCATAAGAGACCATTGTATGTATCTGGGAAGTAACCTTTGCGGGGTCAGTCAAGTCAGGTATTGCTTGGGGGTGTACATGTATAAAGACTGATTTGAAAGATTGCAACCAGATAGAAAGTTTAAGTTTAGGTTGGATGGTTTTCCTGTATATTCGACTGGTGTGAGTATTATACTGTACCGTTATGCTATGTTTTAGTTAGAATGTGTCAATGAATTGTTTATACAGTGAGTTTAATGGCGTTTCACCTTAAAATATGTAAAATGTAACTAAGGTATTGTACAGGCGTAATGACAGGGCCGAAGGTAGCCCAGGGAGGCAGGGGGGCAGCTCCGCCTCCCCCCCCCCCGGCCCGCCAATTAGAATGTTTTTTTACAAATTACTTGTTGTACATCAAAGTATTGACATTACCCTCTTTTTGAGTGCCATATATCCTCACCGCAGCCCTGAAATCAACACCTAAACTAATAACGCAAAGATTGCGGGCAGTCCCTCTGACAGATGATCGGTACCACAATGATACACCTAATTACATATGATTACAACAACTAATAATCAATAAAATAAGGAATCCAGTGCAATGACAGAGACTACCCGGAACCCTGTAAACTGAAGGCATAGTGCGCAATACCTAATGATAATTAACGAACAAGTGACTTAATTAGAAAAAGGATTGCTTCGACCACACCCTCGTTCTGTGCGGACTCCTCATCATCCATTTGTGTCAAGATCGTTAAGTTGAGGGTCAAAATCGTGTTCCAATAGACTTGCAGCAATAACAATAAAGAATTGGTAGGATTTGTGAGTGGGGATCAATAGGCCAATCATCCATGATCATGTTCACGTTCAGTTTTAATCGATTACTTGCGATGGTAGCGTAGCGATCGGCAAAGCAAGCGGGTGGGGTATACCGAAGTGTCCGGCCTTGACATAATGTATTGTACTGTGAAGTATTTCGAGTCGGGGGTCATCGCAAATGTTTTATGGGGTTTTTTTTAACATCGTTAATCCTTGCATAGACACGAGGGCCTGTGGGTCAGTCAGCAAAGTATATCGTGTTCGAGCCGGGTATCCATGTTGAGTATGAACTGTAGCACGGTATTTCAATGTGCTATTATTATTAAATTCCGAACTGGTTCACGTGGCATTTTAGTGCAGGCATATTGAATGCAACCTTTACCCCATTTTACAAACGTCGCATATCTGGCAACAGGCTCAATGGCGATGTGTCTGTCTCAATATCGACCCGCGTCGATATCCGGCTTGAAATTATTAAGCACAAAAACAACATGCACTTAAACACAAACAACAGCCTGAACCGCCTGTACAAAGTCCCAGTTAGGAAAACAAAAGACAGATGCAATATCACTGAATGTAACACAAATATAACAGTTTGCAAGCTTGCAGTTAGTTCCTATTTCCTGGAATCGAAAGTGAAAATAGGAATAGCTGTTTTATCGAAAAGGTGTGCATACACAAATATTTTGTCTAACAGTATCTATGTGCATACTGAACATCATAAACATATGACACACACACTGACACAGAGATGTTATTATTCCCTATTATTACCTGAATAGCAGCTCAGGAGAGATCTACCCAGACATCGGCATAACTCGTGACATGACGACTGCAATGTTGACTGTGCGCTAGACAATAGTGTAACCTCCCTTGAATAGTGACACGAGAGTCAGAAGTTAGTGAACGAAGTCTTGTAAAATATCAATGTGACAACGAGTAGAAGAACACCTTGTCGAGTGGTGAGTGAGTGAGTATGTTTTACGCCGCTTTTAGCAATATTCAAGCAATATCACGTCGGGGATACGAGAAAAGGGCTTCACATATTGTGCCCATATGGGGAATCGAACCAGGGTTTTCGGCCCCTTTCACCGCCCCTTTTTAACCGAGAGGAGGTCATGGAGTGGCTTCTAAGTTCAGCTGCAATGCAGCGAGGTCTACGACAATCTACCTCACATGCTGTACCAGGGTGGACGTATGTATTTAACGTGGCGAACAAATGTAGGTTGTTCTTTATCATTATTTTGTTTCCACAATATTTTATTCGGTAGCAAAACATGACAGTTTGTCAACCCGATTAATTATTCACAGCTGCTTATAAACAAACTCAAGTATGTTTCTATAAACATAATCGAAATCAGGACAAATGTTAACCGACTCCAAACCAAAATCTTGTGCCTTATTGAAAAGCACGAACATTAAATACGAATATAAAACATGTATTGCAAATAGACAGAAAGGAGTGCACATACAGTTCAATATAATATTGTAAGGAATCAAATTGTGAACAATATAAAGTCAATATAAATGCTACAATGATATGAAAACGTCGGCATGGACAACACAAGGTGTGCAACAGTTTCATGATATCAAACGGTTGACGCTCCTTGAAGGAGTTCCCTTTTCCAGTCCTCGCTCTGAATCTCATGACCACCCACAAGCTTTTGGCCACCAACATTGGTCATAATTCGGGGACCGAACACATCATACCAAGATATCCGCATCCCCAAATTTCCCGACAGACAGAGGACGGACACAAATAGATGTCATAATGTAAACGATCCTAATTCGTGGACAACTCAAAAAGAATGTCATTCTCCAAATTCTGTGGATTTCTGGGGAACTTGTGTGGACCTTCTACGTATACAGCAGAACACTAGAATGAGTGAGTCAGCATGGACAACACAAAATGTGCAACAGTTTCATGACATCACAGGCTTGACGCTCCCTGAAGGAGTTGCTTCTTCCAGTCCTCCATCTGTATCTCCTGGCAAGACACAATCTTCATGGCAACACTTCTGGGGCCATGGTAAACCCCTGGCCATAATTCAGGGCCTGAACACATCACACCAAAATGTCCCGATGGATGACATCTATACAGCATATTTTCATTTGATCCATGTCGAGGAGAACCCCGTACTATAGTCTGACATACGTGTCCTCATCATTGTCAACCACGTCATCTTTGCTGGCTAGAGCATGTCCATTCACTGTCAGATACATTGCAATTGTGTTGCTATTGTCGTTGTATGTATGTATGTACGTCTGACTGAGTTTGGTTTTACGCCGCTTTTAGCAATATTCCAGCAACATCACGGCGGGGGACACCAGAAATGGGCTTCACACATTGTGCCCATGTGGGGATTCGTACCCGGGTCTTCGGCGTGACGAACCATTAGGTTACCCCATCCCCTATGGATGGATGGATGGATGGATGGATGGATGTATTTTACGTATGCGTGTTAATCACTGACTGAACGTGATTAGGACATGCTGGCCTGTTCTACTCAGTGTATCAGTGCATATATGTGGTACATATTCCAGTTCTCTGTGTGTAACGTGACATAATATGATATATATGTGGTATATATACCGATTGTCCTCTTGTGTGTATATATGTTCTGTGTGTGTGTGACGTGACATCACATAAATGTGGTATATATACCAATTGTTCTGTGTGTGTGTTACGTGTCATGTATGTATGTGGTATATATACCAATTTCCCTCTCTGTGTTTGTTACGTGACATGATATTTATGTGGTATACATACCAACTGTCTTCTTTCTGTGTGTGTGTGTTACTTGACATGATATATAGAAGGTATATATACCAATTGTCATCTTTGTCTGTGTGTAACGTGACATGACATATATGTGGTATATATACCAATTGTCCTCTCTCTGTGTGTTACGTGACATGATATATGTGTGTTATATATTCCAATTGTTCTGTATATACCCACCATGTGGATGGTTGCTCTGTGCTCGGTGTGTGTGTTTGACGTGATATGACATATATGTGGTATATATGGCAGTTGACCTCTGTGTGTGTGTTACGTGACACGACATATATGTGGTATCTAAACCAATTGTTCTACTTTTAACCACCTTGTGGATGGGTGCTTTGTGCTGGGTGTGGATGTTTTACAGCAGTGTTTTAGGACATCAGTATCAGGTTGCGACATCTACGTTGCGACATCTCACGGCAAGTGTGAAAGATGATAATGTTGCAGAATGGATTATACTCCGCGTTGCCGTACCTAGTGTTCCGGGGTGCCGTGGTGCTGACCAGTGGGATGTCCGACTGTCTGGTGTCCAGGAAACTATTAAGTGTTGGTGCTGCCAGGAAGTTCCCCAATACTCTAGGTAATCTCTGTCTTTGTTCTATGGAGGTATTGGATCCGAATATTTGATTTGGGCAGGAAGAAGGCTCGTGTGTCACGTAGAAGCTTAGTCTGTCATACAGACCCTGAAGCAAATATATCCAAGAAAGCCCACGCAAGTCTAGAAAATGTGGCAAGTCTAGATTTCCTCAGCTTCTGAAAATGAAGAAAGTCTCAGGGCTCCTTTTCATTATATATTTTTTTTTTTTTACTATGAATTTTTTTTCAGTAAAACATGTTCATTTCAGAGACTAGTTGTTAGTCTAGTAGAAGCTCAAAATGTCCCAAACGAAGAAGCTAAAATACCATTACATGGGAAGTGCGTGTGATGAATGTCCATATTAGCAATAGTGTAGTGTCGGGAATACTCCTCTTATTGTCTCAATTGTTATACTTGACTTTGCTCTGAATAGCATTCAGATCACTCACTACCTCACTCACTTACTCCACTCTCCTCACTCACTCACTCACTCACTCGTACACTCACTCACATCACTCACTCACTCACTCACTCACTCACTCACTCACTCACTCCTCAAAAGCCTCAAAGCCTTCTACTTTTCCCAATTCTCAATAACATCATCAGCTAACATTATATGTTATCTTCTCGAAGAAGTGAAAGTTTGCTGTACAACATGAACTAACGACGTTTTGTCTTGTTCTCAAGGGTGTATGCTTCCGGCCGTATCAATGCTTGTATTAGCATTGGCAAACTGTCTTCCGCTTCCGGTAGCTATAACCATACTGTGTGGAGCTGTTGGATTGGTAGGATTCGCTTTTGGAGGCTATCGCACTGCAATTCTCTGGAACCCTAACTGGTCTCGGGAACTGCATCAGCAGCATTGCTCCGTACATCGTGTCGTCCCAACAGTTCATGTAAGACGATACCAAACGAAACAAATCTTAGACTCTTACATCATACAGACTCACAATATATGTGATTCACGGGTCTAAAGTGTTGCTATGAGCGCTGTTTACTCATATATGGGTTCCATTGCTCCTGGGATCCGATAGTCATGGGTTCGAATCCCGATTTGGTATAACAACACCCGGTCCAGTGTTGTAAATGTTGCATATGCGGAGATTTCTTAAGATTTTCGGTGTGTTTTCACCCGATTTTCTGATATACAGTTTTGTTAATAGTTAATATGTGTCTGAGAGACTTTTGGTGACCGACTATCTCAATCAGAAAGATAGCATGTAATGGGATTTTAAACTTATCCGATTCATGACAACCATTTAAAGGGGTCACTGACTTTGCAAAACACAACACAACAAAAACGATGGTTCCTTTTTTTACTGACAATTTCTCTCCAAACGTAACTTGACAATTGACATGACAATTGTATTAACAATTGAAATGGTATTCCGTAAGTGCAACATAAGGCATGTAAAGGTGTACCGTTTTTATTCACAATATGTCCCAAAGAAACTGAATTAGAACCTTTTCAATCAGTTTGCCATGCATCACATCAACACAGATGTATTTTTGTTACTGTTGTTTTAAAGATGGGGTGACATTTTATACAGATATTGGGTAAATGTACATTTAACAGATCTAAACAATTTATCAATGTTTTGGAAATAAACACTAGCTATTTATATTAATGCACAAAATAAAATAAAAACATAACTAAAAATAGATTAACTCCTTTTCTCAATTTTATTATCACAGAAAATATGGATCTTTGTTATTATCAGTGTTTACGGTTAGGTTCCTCAAAATAAAATACGTTCTTCAGAAATCTAGTAAATCCTGTGGGATTATTTTAAGTGTCGCCCAAATGTTGCTGTTCATACAAAAATACTAATGAATAAAATGCAACATCTACAACATAAACAAGTAATGTTTAATACAGTCGCTGCCATATTGCACAAATATGGTTCTATATCATAAGCATAAAGAAAAAGAAAGCTCAAAACTAACTGGAATGTATCCGTGTACAACAACATCAGGAATTTCTGTTTGGAGATTCCTAGAATAATAATGATGTCTACAATTTCCAGTAAAGTAAATTCTTCATCTAAAACGTAACATTGATCACTAGTAATAAGATTCATGGGCAGTCAAGTGAAAATGAAGACGTCAGTTTACTATTTTGAAAGCAAAAGCAACAATCGGCTCTAACAAAAGCATTAAAGATATCAACCATATCAAACAAACATTTGTTATTACAATTAAAATCAAACTATTCATATCGTCAGTCTTGACTCAGAAGTTGAACGTAAGTATTCGAAGGAAGATTTCGAACTTTGACTTCTTCCGCTATATCGTCTCTGATATATAAAAATGTCTTGTTCTGGCATCCTCTCAAGGTCCCGTTTACTCTCTTATTCATTTGTATTATCAGAGAGTAGGTACATAAATCAACAAATAAACCAGCGACGTTCTGCATCTGTCACTCAAATCCGGGCTCATCGACACACACTTGTCTCACGAATGTATTTTTTGGTGTGTGTTTTTATGTTCATATTTCTTTATTATTACCTTATCGACAACAAAATGATACAAGAAGTATTTAATGGTCAAACGGATCAAAGGACAAAATGGTTTCATGTGAGATAGCATCCATTACTATCCTGAATCAATTACAACCTGGATCTTGGTTTGATTATACATTTGACTATATTCATTCGATTAACTTTGAAACCAATACTTTTTGGTCAAGAGGCATTTTACGGCTGTGATATGGACTTTAAGTGATTTATCACAACTCATATGATTAAGATGCAACATAGTCGAAATGCGATTCATACTTGTCATATGCGAGCCAACATATTATTTATCTTTCTAGTATTGTTTCGTTTAATTCTTTGGGGGGCTGGGGATCTGAGGGAGGGGAGAAAGAAATTTATAATCAGAGATTCATATTTCAGATATATGCACATTTTAAATAGATTCACATTTAAATCCTCATCTACAGACTCAATTATAAAAAACAATAATATCCCGAACCAAACCCACATCAACATCTCCAAATGCATCTAACCTAATTTCCTATCAAATGTACTTTCAAACAAATCACCTGTAGCAAGTTCCTTATTCTTCGAACACGCTAGAATACATTTCTCTATCAATTATGCTGAACGGCCATATGTAATCTCTGCACATATTTAACATTTAAGCGAATGTCTAAAAACAGGTGAACTTCATGTGATCCTGATGTCTACCAGTGTAGAGCTGTGACTGTAGCCTCGATATCAATTCCCTTCAGTACACATGTATGGCGTCTTCGAGAAGCTTCTTTTTCCAGTCTTCCATCTGTAGATCTGGTCCACTCACGAGTTTCATTTCAACTCTCTTTCGGCTACTATAAACTGCAAATACAGGCCACATCTTTCTCTTGTACCCAGCACTATGTTGTGGCTTGCTGTCAGCAATACATCCAGTTCCCAACATTTCTATTTTGTTGGTGTCCAGGAAGGATACCGCCATCTTGTCAGTATCAACAAGAACTCGTACCTTTTGTCGTAGCCTGGAAAAAATGGTACCTTAAGCGTTACGTTAATACCAGAAAAGGTATAATGCAAGACAATGCATTGATAATTTTCCGGCTGATGCGTGTAAAGCAACAAAATAGAAAAATAATTGTTTTGAATAATTGTGAATGGATAGCAGTATGTATAAGGAAATCTCTGAAAAAGATGAGAATTGAGAAAAATGTAATTATAACAGTTCTAAGAAAGATGAAGGAGTTTGTAAGGAAAGAAAGCTTAAAGTTTAATATGAATGATAACTAATTTTGATTTATTCTACTGGAATTGCTTGGGGCTTGTCTGCCAATGCAATGTTACATGCATAACGATTATAAGACGTGGATCGTCCTTCGTGTTTGGATGTTAAATTGGTTGTCGAATAGTGTTCATGGTTAAGATAGAACCCAAGGACAGTTACACCCCATTGTACCCATGTCGGCGTTAGAAATACTCTTCAGAACAACGAGACCAACTCTGACTTGGTTGATGTCATCGTAACGAGACTGATACTTATGATGTCAATCACTGTATTGTGTTGTCCAGACTTGATTGTTTACAGACATGTAATATAACCCCAGTATTGCGGCGTTACAAACTCACATTTTATGTGTAATGATGAGGAGGCCTATTTAATAATGGTGAAGTGTAAGTGAAACAGTAAAACAATCCAAATTTCAACAAGTGTGAACGTTACCACACGAGACACACGAAAACAAAAGGTTCTTAGCGAAGCAAATAATGACAAGACAGGGTTTCTGATCATCTACGACTGTATTCTCCACTGAAGAAACTTACCCATGGGGTCCAACTGAATTACGATCCCCTGAAGTCTGGATACATCCTCCTGCAAAGTCTTCACCTTCTGTTCATTCTGAGAGGCTTCCTTTTCCAGTGCACTGATTAGCTGGACGGTATAAACAAACAGAGCACTTTCAACATCTGAATATGTTTTAACTGTGACCATCGCTATTAATCATGTTATTTCAGTGACAATAGTTTGAGTGACTTCTTTTTAGTGATAAGCACATCATTTGCTACAGATAAAATGTATTAAATTTATAAACCAATAGAGCTACCGTACGTCTGCGTCTTGCGTCCGTCATAGGTTGGAACATAAACTCCAATTTTAAGGATTTTCCGTCTGAGCCTCTCTGTTCTGTGTCTGAAGGTCATGTATATCTGCTTCCAGTTTCATCTGAAGGCCTGAAGAAAACATTAACAGCAGATATAGCCAGGAAATACACAGGGTACAACGCCAATAGAGATTTAGATATGTTATCCTTATTCCAAAACATGCTTATTGATGGAACAGGAGTAACCAATTCATAGCATGTAAATTACAATTGTTTTTTAATAACATGAACGTATACCGTAGTTGATACAAATACTGTACTGTCAAAGCTGAAGGCACCTGCGTTAATACTTCGAGGTAGCCTAGGTTCGACAGAACCGATGAATTACGAATAATGAATGCATACAAAGGGGAAAACGTTCACTTCATGACAACCATAGGTTCGACACAGCAGAGTATGACTATTACAAATATCCTTCAGTAAACATATACACCCTTCGACAAACACACCACCCAGAACACACTCGAACAAATGCATCACTATAATTTTCAAATAATAGAAGGTATTAATAAATAGAAGATCTGAAGGTATATGTACACATAACATTTTATATCCTCACCTCGATCTGGTTAAAAAGAACGTAAAAAACAAAGCGACAGTTACCCGTTTTAAGTGATCCTTTCATAGGTGATTCCGTCTGGGTAACTGAAGTCATGAAACCACCAAAGGATGATACTAAGGTTTTCAAATCCGGTAAACCTTGCTTTGAGAAGACGACACACGGTTCGCATTTGTGAACAGCAGGAACGTCAGCCTTTATACAAGACTCAAAGGCCTGTGTGATGGAACTCTTCACTTTGTGGAGGTGGGAAGGTGAGGCATAGAGGAGAGTCTCGTTGACGTAGTCAAGGACTGTCTGGCAGCTTGTCTCTGATGACTTCAGGACAGGGAGTCGACTGTCGGAGGAAAAGGCCTTCTCGTCAATACGTCTTGCTTGTACAAGAACCGTTTCTTTTGCTGAAATGATCTTTTCCTTCTTCTCTGAAGCAGATTTTATGTATGCCTTCAAGACGTCTTGTTCACGACTCAAGAACATATCAGCTCTGTCAGTTCTGTGACTGGTGTGATCTTCGTAGTGGCATTGGAAACAGACGAAACAGTCACAGTCTTTATCATAGACGTCCAAACGTTGTCCGTGTTTCTCACAGACGGACTGGGATCTTGTCGATGTACATGGAAGATCAGAAATCCACTTCATTGTGTGATTCCTAGTTGCTTTCACCTCTGAGTGAGATATATGGCAGTGCTCGCAGAAATAGTCCTCACATTCCTGACACCAAGACATTGCCTGGTTCTCATCCACCTTGTTGGTACATTGGAAGTCAGACGGTCGGTGCTTCATTGTCTGGTTGAGGACCCCACGAAGAACAACATCATCTACTAGGAAACTCCCAACATTTTCATCATGACTCTTCAAGCAGACAGCGCAATCTAGAGTTGTGACTTCCGGTGATTTGAGGCAGTCTTCACATACAGGATGTAGACAGGGAAGCAGGTACGGCTGTGGTCCTCTGTACACGAAGGAGGTGCTGCACACCACACACTTAGGGAACACAGGGTCTGAATCCATCCTGTAACAAACACATCGATGACCTCTCATCATATTACAACTTTGAAGATGTATTTCATACACTGACAAAGTATTTCAGATTAGAAAAATATTTGAACCTGATCATATGATTTGATGGGTCTTTATGCACCTTTGGGTAATATCTATATATACTGAACATCATTGAAAACGCACCACCTGTATTAGTTTGGATTTCCAAGAGCATAAATGAGCAATCGGTGTAAATTTTACATGCTTTTGTAGTCCAATGATTGGTAAAGAAAAGAAACAAGAACCAATCCAGCAAAACAGTGAAGTTTTAATTCAGCTGACCATGAAAGAAAGATAGAGTCATATTGGAAAGTCAGTAACGTGTATGACCACCGTTAGCACCAACATTCTTTTGTCGTCTTTTGTGTTATTAACAACATTTCCAACGTTCATTTTCACTCTCAAAACAATCCTATTACCATATTTCAAAATTTCAATGATGTTCAGTATATTACGGTATTAAGAATGGGATTCACACATTGTTACCTTTCATGGAATTTTGGCAACTGCTCGGTGTCTTAGAACATTTATTCACAGACTGTAGTAATTCATTATTGTCATATGTCATACAATCATTTCCTCGACAGTAAGCAGGCATTTTCTCCAAAACCATCGGCAATCATGCTCACTTGTCTGTCATAGATGGCCTTGACATTCAAGTGATCTGAGCAGATCTGCAGAATCTGAATTAGGCCATCCGATTGGTGGAAAATATATTATACTGTAAGATTTTGACTGTTTGCTAATGGGCGCGAAATATACTGGCCACATAAAGAAACTGTGCACACAGAAAATATAAAGACAGGCAGACAGCGTCTTTATGCATAAATAAAGGTGTGAACATAGCAAGTATTGGAGACAATCACACTTTCATGCAGGTGCCAGGCGACGTGACGTCATTGATGGTGGCCAATGGACTTGCAATGTGTTACTGCACGTGCAGCTTGTGCAGCTGCACACAACATGTGAAACTCAGAAATTGATGTCACTGTCGAAAGCTTGATCTTTGGTCATTCAAACTTTCACAAATTCACATGAAAAGTCACATGCACATCATGCCAAGATTAACATGTGCTCAACGTCATGAAGCCATTGGAATGGTTCGAGCAGGCATGAGCCAACAACAGGTGGCAGCACATTTCCAGTGCCATCGTAACACGATATCTGCATTGGTCAGGCGTTAGGGTAATAGTAATGACGTCGCCAACCACCCACGTTCTGGGCTTCCCCGAGTAACAACGCCAAGACAGGACAGATGGATTCGGGTGGCTCATATCAGACACAGGTTCCAGACGGCAGTGACCACGTCCCAAACCATTCCCCAGGCCTTCATTTTGAAAATTTGGTAGCTTCGATGCACTGCTGTATTTCACGCGCATGATGGTCATACCCATTATTGACTTTGTGACTTCGACGTGTGACCCCCGACTCAATTTTGAACTTCTGACGCCATCGTTACGGATATTGTTCATGTTCTTTTGACATGTTGTTGAGGCCCGATACTTCAGCTTATAAAGTGTCTACATCATGTCGCCTTTTCTGTGTTGTATTCCAATTCTGAAGGAATTTTCTGTGTGCACAGTTTCTTTAAGTGGCTAGTATATGAACTTTGCCATATTCCTTCTATTTTGGATGATGTACAGAACAGTAAATTGTTAAGAATAATTTTAGAGGTTGTCAAAATGCATTTCGATATTGATTCATTTTTAGGAAATTATATTTATAAATATTTAACCTCTAAAATTATTCCTACCAATTTACTGCTCAGGTCACTTAAATGTTAAGGCCATCTATGGCCGACAAGTGAGTATGATTGCCGATGATTTTGGAGAAAATGCCTGCTTACTGTTGAGGAAATGATTTTTAGATGTTGCAATAAGGTTTTAGACCCGTGGAATGCCGCTGCCGATCGAATCTTGCCCCACATAGGTGCTGTCAACGTGGCTGGAATTAATAAACGAATTTAAAAAGGTGAGTTTTCGCTGTCTTGGGTGATCCATGATTTTGGCTTGGAATTGCGGAGGTAGCTGTTTTCGGCGAGTCGTGGCGTATAACTTTTGAAATAAAGATCCGATTGTGACCATTTATAGTTCATTTTGTAGGGAAATCTTCTCGCTTTCGATCAGTAGGCCTGGACGGGGCCTTAAAAATAGTTTACGTGGTGAAATCTAACTTTGATTGAGGAGGGGTTGGTTCCGTCGTTACATCCCTTTCCTTTTTATATAGTACTAGGGTAGGGTCTATATACCTATATGTCTTTCTAAGGCTGTTTCTAAGCGTGATACGCCCCTGTGCTTAAATGAACCAACGAATCAGTTGGTATATTACCAGATGGTGGCCACATGAATACGTGCAAACACCTAGTTGCGGGTACAGCAACGTGTAGTGAACTTGGACAATGTACTGTGACTATGTGTCCCAGTCCAACCAGCTGGGAATGGGTACCTCGTTAGGATGAGAAAGCCGCAATAACTCGGTGCGCCTAGTGGCAGCAAGAGTTGTATGATCCCTAGGGAGTTGAGATTGATAATACGATGTGCCGTTGAGATTGACATCCAATGATCGAGAGAAAACATACCAGCGCCTTGAGCATGCACTAGTTACCTGGATATGTGCGTTATATAAATATCCTATAATAATAAATAATCCTATAATTATTATGTACTTTCAACACACACCCTCTAATCAGGTTTGAATAGAAAGCTTGAGAAATTAGGTCGGGCTGTCGGTGAGCGCGGGTTACATCCTACTGTATTATAAGGCATTCATTGACTACACCTTTGCTTTTCGTTTAATGAAGGGTTTCATTCGAGATCGCATGAGCGCATGAATACAAACACCGGTTCATTAACTTTCTGATCTGTGACGTCATGCACCCATTTGACTATGAATGAGTTCTCCTGCATATTAATTTCCCTCAACCAAACGAAGGTCCTGCTCCCACTCTATATACTACTGTCATGTGTAACATATTACGTATTATCCGCTCGTCACGCCGAAGACCCGGGTTCGATTCCCCACATGGGCACAATGTGTGGAGCCCATTTCTGGTGTCCCCCGCCGTGATATTGCTGGAATATTGCTAAAAGCGGCGTAAAACCATACAGGTGATTCTTAAACCTGTTTAGAGATAAACATTTGCAACATATGGTAATAATTATGTTAGGGTGTGTTTTTATCAAATAATATTACGTTCACCTTTCTTTTAGTTGTAGGTGTTTTATAGGTTTAATTCTTTATAATAAATAAATAAACGAAAACAAAACAATACAATATACGAGTGCTTTGGTGATTTTAAGTACCACTGGAATCAAACAGGAATAGAGTTATCGTCCTTGTTTAAAGTATTTCTGATGCGCCAATATGAAATCCTTCCAGAGGGGCACGAGTTGCTATTCGTCTTGTCCCGGAATAACATGCTGTGTCTGTCTCAACGTCGACCTGAAATTATGTCTGAAGGGGTCGTTGTCGGCACAGGTACTACAGATATGTACCCCAGGTACGTTTCTGTATACAGACATGTACCCTAAACAAAGACAAACTACAGAAACGTACCCGAGTCAATATTCCGCGACCCAATACCGAAACCGTATGTAGTTATTCACGTTCAGCTGATTGAGAGTGGTGTACGTTGTGCACCGTGAAATATTCGTTATACTGTGTATGCTCTTATATAACGATATCAAATGCATCTAATACAACAGCATGACAGTTCCGATCAAGAAAACTCCACAATGCAGAATGGAATCGTCCTAGGGTACATTTCTGTATTCTGATTATGGCCAGGGTACAATTCTGTATACAGAAACGTACCTGGGGTACACATCTGTAGTAACCGTGCCGACAACGACCCTTTCAGCGAAATTATGGGGTATAATAACAACATGAACACAAACAACAGCCCGAACCGCCCATACAAACACTCAATAAAGAAGACAAAAGACAGATACAATATCACGGAATGTCACACGGACATATAAGATCGCAAGGCAAGCCTGACTGTCTGTCGTTAGTTGCAACATCCTGGGATCGAAAGGTTAAATAGGAACAGGTGTTTTCCAGAAAGGTTTGTATAATAAAGATGTACACACACATTTTATCTGACAGTTTATAAGTGCATAGTAAGGATCATGTTCGTATGACACACACACAGTTAATATTCCCGTTACCTGAATAGCAGCTCAAGAGAGATCTACCCACACACAACGACAAAACTGCAATGTTGACTGTGCGCTAGGCAATAGAGTAGCCTCCCTTGGATACTTACACGTGATAACAGTTGGTGAACGAAGCGTTGTAAAATATCAGGAGACCACGCCTTATCGAGTGGTGAATGAGTGAGTATAGTCTGGTATGTTTTTACACCACTTTTTGCGATATTCCAGCAGTATCTTAGCGGGGATACGAGAAAAGGACTTCACACATTGTACCTTTGGAGAATCGAACCCGGGTTTTCGGCGTGACGAGCGAACGCTTTAACCAAACGCTAACCCCACCGACCCTCTTTTGCCGAGAGGAGGTCATGGAGTGGCTTCTTACTTCAGCTGTAATACAGCGAGGTCTACGACAATTTACCTCACATGTCGTACCAGTGTGGACGTATGTATTTAGTGTGGCAAACGAATGTAAATTGTCATTGGTTGTTATTTTGTTTTCTCAGTATTAACAGTTTTACTTTTAGTCAATAACAGAACATGACTGTTTGTCAACAAGCAGAATTTATTCACAGCTGTTTTATAAACAAACCTTAGTATGTTTCTATGATCATTTGCGAATTCAGAACAAATGTTAACCGACTCCAAACAAAATTCTTTTGTTTTATTAAAAAGCACAAACATAAAATATGAGTATAAAACATTTATAGCAAATAAACAGAAAAGAATGCACATACTCTTCAATATAATACTGGAAGAGATCTAAGTTGTGGACAATGTGAAGAGAAATCATTACAAGATATAATCCTATATATTATGCAATATTTATGTACAGTTGATTTCAAACGTATATGGGCCTTGTACAAATAAGGTACAAAAAACAGCTGACAAGAATGCTGCAATGATATGAGTGTGTTGGCATGGACAACACAAGGTGTGCAACAGTTCATGACATCACGGGCTTGACGCTCCCTGAAGGAGTTCCTTCTTCCAGTCTTCCATCTTAATCTCCTGGCCACCCACAATCTTCATGGCAACACTTCTGGGGCCATGATAAACCCCAAACATTGGCCATAATTCAGGAGCGGAACCCATCACACGAAGATGTCCGCATCCCAAAACCTCCCGTTGGATGATGTCAAGATAGCATATTTTCATTTCATCCATGTCGAGGAGAACCCCGTACTGTAGCCTGGTATGCGTGCCCGTATCATTGTCAACCACGTCATCCTTGCTGACAAAAGAGTGTCCATCCACTGTAAGACACAGTGCAATTGTGTTGCTATTGTCGCTGACACCAATCAGGAGGCTCGACGAAGATGGCTGGCCAGTAATATAGGCTGAACTGTCCATGACATCCTCTGCACACACACCGACCTCCAACAGAAGAATTCCATCACCTAGAGGCTTGTCCAGTTCCACATCCGCCTCCACCTCCCAGTACACCAGGCCGCTAGAGGGCAGTGGGGAGGTGCAACAGGTGCCACAGTAGTTCTTCAGAGCTGGTCTTTTAGGGTCTGCCTGTATGCCGTGGCTTTTGTTTGGCCAGTGTCTCCTGTTGATAAGCATTTGCTTATGGATGTGTACCGCCCTTCGGTTAACCCTTTCTGGATCAAACATCATAACTGGACCTGCAGATGAGAAATATGCGATGAATGAAACACGAGATAATCAGTGAGATCTCGCTACTTCTCTTAACCATTTCATGTGATCAAGCCTATCAAGCTAGAAGGACTTCATACATCCATCCAATCAATAATGAAATAGAATTACAAAACAACATATGTATGCATGTGCGTGCGTGTGTGTGCGTGCATGCGTGCGTGTGTGTGGATGTATTAACAAAATAAGAAATATCTGAAAACTTGCTTTGCTTCCACTCAGTTTTATCAGTTGTTGTTTTTTTCTTGTTTTTTTATATTTTTTATTGGTTCCCAAGATAACAATGTCATATGTACAAAAGTGATGTACAGACAGATAGGTGATGTGCAGGTACTATGTGAATTACATGTTAATACACATATATAAGTCAATAAAAGAGAAATACGATATCAGGTGAATATGGACACATTTTAAATTCATCAAAGTACTGGGAAGAGAAGGCCCATTTATGATTCTATTTTATTATTTTTTTTGCATATATGGTTTTCCACAAACAATATTTCTTTCAGAGTTTTTATAAATAAAGTTATGTTTGGATGTGTATTCTTAATACTGCATATGTAAATGTGTCTTTTTGCTGCAATGATGATGTGATTTAGTAATATATAATGATGTAGAGTACCAAACCAAACCATATGTTTTGATGATAGCAATATATGAGGGTATACATTGTTCAGCCAAAAGTGTACTAGGTTTTTCCAAGATTTTTGTGTCTCCTGACATTCCCAGTACACATGAGAAACACTCTCAATTAGATCATTGCAGAAACAACATAGACTGCTATCAACTTTTTTTCATTTTAAGCAATTATCTTTTTGTATAAATAACACCTTGTAGAAATCTATATTGAATATAAGTTTTGTCAGTTCTATCAGTTATTCCACACGTAATAGATATCCACGATCTACTTCCATTTCGCCTGTCTTCTCACATAAATATCCCATTTTACATATGATACAAATTTGCTCACATTCAATAGCAGTAATGGCACAGTCCTGGTCCCTCTCCAGTACATGCAGGTATGTATGGCCGTTGAGGACTGAAAACAACATGGTTACCTACTAAGAATCAAACCACTGACTGAATGGGATCCTGGATAGGACCTGTTCTACCCAGTGTATCACAAGAACGGAATATGGAATTGCATGGGTAACGCGTTTAAATATATGTTATGATCGACTCATTACAACATTGTGTTTCCGACATAAATTCAATTAATCTTCTTATAACTCTATGGCTAGAAAGGCAGTACGGCAAAGGCCATCATCAAATAGTGGAGATACCATGTGTTATAACTCTAAAGCTGGAGGAGCAGCACAGCACAGCAAAGGCCATCCTATCAAATAGTGGAGATACCATGTGTTATATCTCTATAGCTGGAGGGCAGCACAGCAAAGGCCACTATCAAATAGTAGATATACCATGTGTTATATCTCTATAGCTGGAGGGGCAGCACAGCAAAGGCCACTATCAAATAGTGGAGATACCATGTGTTATATCTCTATAGCTGGAGGGGCAGCACAGCAAAGGCCACTATCAAATAGTAGAGATACCATGTGTTATATCTCTATAGCTGGAGATATACCATGGGCAGCACAGCAAAGCAAGCCACTATCAAATAGTAGATATACCATGTGTTATATCTCTATAGCTGGAGGGGCAGTACAGCAAAGGACATTATCAAATAGTCGAGATACCATGTGGTATATCTCTATAGCTGGAAGGGCAGTATAGCAAAGGACATTATCAAATAGTGGAGATACCATGTGTTATATCTCTATAGCTGGAGGGCAGCTGGACAGCAAAGGCCACTATCAAATGGTAGATATACCGCCATGTGTTATATCTCTATAGCTGGAGGGCAGCACAGCAAAGGCCACTATCAAATAGTGGAGATACCATGTGTTATATCTCTATAGCTGGAAGCACAGCAAAGGACATTATCAAATAGTAGCTGGAAGGGGAGATACCATGTGTTATATCTCTATAGCTGGAGGGCAGCACAGCAAAGGCCACTATCAAATAGTGGAGATACCATGTGTTATATCTCTATAGCTGGAGGGGCAGCACAGCAAAGGACACTACAGCTTGTTCGGCTTGACCTGATCAAGTGAACACTAATGCATTGTGTGACCGTGTCACGTCTGGTTGGGTGTATTATTGTGAAGGGTAGGACGTTTCTAAGTTGATTGTCAACATGTCCGAACAGACGAGACAAGGTCGCCGTTTGACATCTCAGTGTCGAGAAATCGTCAGCAATGTCCTAACTTTCTTTAAAAAAGAAGCTGCAGATGGAAGAGAGTGATAGCGAGAATGAATCAGATTGTGAAAGTATCTGACATCTGTACGTTGTAAAGTTAGTGAACCAAATCTAGAAAGCATATGGCTGTATTAACAATTCAATTAAAGCATGAAATATTCCGGGACAAGTTCTGTAACGAATCCATGTATGCATGCTTCGTACGAACGCAACATTAATAACATTCTCTGCTCCTCCATTTAATGAAGTTAACTCGACCTGCAGTTTGTGCCATTTGACCTCCCGGGTCATGCATATGTAGATAAGCTCAGGTCAAGCTGAACAAGCTGCATTCACTGAACGAACCTGGGAAGATGCATTACAAATAAAGGTAAGTAACTGCATCAAGCATCATTTTATAGATAATTACCTTTGTTGTCTAAACTGACAATAGTCTTACGCAGTCGGTCCACTTCCTCCTGGAGGGTCTGAATACTGCCTCTGAGTGATTCTATTTCCTAAAGGGGGGGAGAGAGAGAGAGAAAAACAACAACCAATAAACACGTTAAAATAGGTATGAGTTTTCTGTTACAAGTCAAGTAGGGTTTCCCTAATTGTCAAGGGGCCCGATTCACATAGAGATCGTAGCGTTACGATTCATCGTAGCTCGATTCTTCATCATAGGCTTACGAACGGCGCAGTGCTACGAACGCTTTGTGGATAGGGGCCAAGGACTCGTAGATATTGGTCACGTTCCAATTCATTATCCAATATGACATGCATGCAATGACAAAGTGTCCATGTTGTTAAAATCAAAACACACTGCTCGCTATCGCTAAATAGATGTCTAACGTTTACCGTAACATTGTTCAAGAATGCCCCAGAATTGCTAAGCGAGAAATAATTATAGGATTTGATTTGAATGAGATTGGACATCCTGCCAAGGCTACTTTAATTCAAGGATTGTATTATCGAGTTTGAATAGTGATGGTGAACTTTCTGCCTCAATTATGTTAATTAATCAGTCGCCTAGATTAAGTTAATTAATCAGTCATTGAGCTTGTTCTTAATACAAGACTACATTTACAACTGTACCTCCTCTGCATCCTTCTGTTGTGTTTGAAGTTTTGTAATAGTTGACTTGAGTGTCATCTCACGAACTGCAGAAAGACAAAGCATTGTCAACTTTATGCACCTTTGTCAGGGTGTGCTAGATTAGTAAGACATGCAATGGCATTACCCAAAGGCATTCGGCATTACAAATAAGCCAGGTAAAATGACACTGCAACATTTCGAGAAGCTAGTATGTAAAACCTATCGACAATTGTATTTATTATCAGTCTACTCTCCCAGTTGTTCATCACACCAACTTCAAAATGCCACTCAAAGATCAAAGAAGTTATTCTATCTTTAGTCCAATTCTGAAGTTGGTTCCTGAGAGTAAACAAAATACCACAATTACCTGATTCAAGCGAAGTAATTTCATCCGCTTGATCAGCCTCTACAGGAGTCAAGAAGGTCCCAAAGGACGAAACCAGTAACATCAACTCGTGCAGCCTCTGCTTTGAGAAGACAACAGACGACTCGAGTCTGTGAACAGTTGGAACTTCGTCGCCGATACATGACTCACACGCCTGTGTAATGGAGCTTTTCAGTTTGTGGAGGTGGGTAGGTGATGCATAGAGGAGAGTCTTTTTGATGTAGTCAAGGAGCGACTGACAAATGGTCTCTGATGACTTCAGGACAGGACGTCGACTGTCATTGATGATCCTCATGGAGTCCAGAAGGTGATCCAACTCTGCAAGCATCTGCTTCTCTCTCTGATCAAGCATACTTCTCAAATCGGAGAAGGTGAACTTCATGACTTCTCGAAGGGATGTAGCTTTTTGTTCAATAACCTCTTCCTGTCTATCCACGTTCGAATGAGCTACTGCTATGCGTTCCGTCTTGTCAGAAATGGATTTCATGTAATCGCTCAGATTTTCCTTTTCATCTGTGAGGAATCTGTCGGCAGTTTGTGTATTGTGGTCGGTGTGTTCGTCATAGAAACACTGGGGACATATGAAACAGTCACAGTCTATGTCATAGATGTCCAGTGGTTGGCCGTGTTCCTCACACTTAGTTTGTAACCCTGTACCTGTCGATGACAGGTCGAATGTCCACTGCATCTTGTGGTTTCTTGTTGCTTTGATCTCTCCGTGAGACTTCTCACAGCGTCTACAGAAGAAGATTCCACACTCCTCACACCAACACTCAGCCTCGTTCCCATCCTGTTTATTGCCACACACAAAGGATGAAGGAAGATGCTTGGCCGTCTCGCGGAACACCTCCTCCAGGACGACCTCGTCCACGGGAAAGTTCCTACCATTCCGGTCGTGGCTTTCCATACAGATGGAACAGAGCAGAGTTGTTAGTACTACTGACTCAAGACAGTCCTCACATACAGGATGTAGACAGGGAAGCAGGTGCGGCTGTGGTCCTTTGTACCTGAAGGAGGTGCTGCACACCGCACACTTGGAACGAAGCCATTCTGGGACTTTGTTAGCGCCATTCAGCTGAAAATGATATCTAAAATGTAAGTTGATGGCTAATTGTACATGTATCGATCACACATATATACATTTCCGCATTGGACGCAAATGTGGGTTTAGGTTGTGAATGAGTGAATTTTAGCAATATTCCAGCAATATCACGGCAAGGGACATCAGAAATTGGCTTCACACATATGATTGTATTCAAACCGAGTCTTCAGCGTGACGCGAGTGAACGCTTTAACCACTAGGCTACCCCAACACCCCGGTTTGGGATGTACGACCAAAGAAACTCTAATCCTAACCCTAGATTGATTCGATTCCCCACACGGGCATAACACGTGAAGCCCATCTCTGCCCATCCATTTTTCAACGTGTTAATTGAACATTTCAAGGGAAAATATTTTAATGTAAATATAATCTGACGAACAGAGAGTTTGCCGCTGTGATGATGCAAAGTTTACATATTATCTAAATAAACACGCAAATTACATGGATTGTTTCTGTGGGAGCCGTGAAGATCAGGGTAAGAATTGATATCAGTAACCCATGCTTGTCGTAAGAGGCGACTAAAGGCATCTCGCTGACTTGGTTGACACACGTCATCCTATCCCAATTGCGTTGATCGATGATCACGCTGTTGATAACTGGATTGCCTGGTCCAGTCTCGATTATTTACAGACCGCCGCCATATAGCTGGAATTGCTGAGTGCGGCGTTAACAACAACCCAACCAACCAGCCAACCAAGATCAGAGGCATGCCCACTACGGGAAGACGAATAATTAGAAGGGTTACAATATATGTCAGTGACTATATAAGAATGTGCACAGAACATGTCACCCAAACCGACGAATAGACTCGTTTCACAACCCTGGGCATAGGCGGATCCAGAGCGGGGGTGAAGGGGTGCGAACCCCCCTTTTGTCCTGAAAGTTTATTGAATGGCCATTGAAACTCGGGTGAAAATGAAGTGTGCACCCCTCCTATTCTCAATAGTGTGCACCCCCCTTTCTCAAAAAGCTGTATCCGCCCCTGCTGGGTGTCTATCTATTTCAAGGCGAGATTTCAATCTTACCACTGCCTTTCCTTGGACGGGTTGACGCATTTAACCCCTGTGGACGAGTCTATCAATTTCACGAGACTATCTGTTGCGTCACCATGGACGAGTCCACACGTTCAACCCCCAGTGCAGATATGGCAGTATCAACGAGTATCAATGTACATATCTGTGTTTAAGGACGGTCGGAAAAGGAAATCGATCTGAGTGAATGAGTGGGTGGGTGGGTTTGAGGGAAGCAGGGAGAGAGGAAGGTTTTAGCAAGATTCCAGCAATACCACGGCTGGGATATTCTCCTTGAGGTTGGAAGAGCGGATATAAGCCCTCATGGGCTTTAATGCTTGAAAATTATGATTTTATATTGAAATATAAAATATAATAAGCTTAGGGGGCGATGGGGTAGACTAGTGGTTAAAGCGTTCGCTCGTTACGCCAAAGACCCCGGTTCGATTCCCCACATGGGTGCAATGTGTCCAGCCCATTCCTGGAGCCCCCCTCCGTGATATTTCTGGAATATTGATAAAAGCGGCATAAAACCAAACTCGCTCACTCACTAATAAGCTTAGACAGAGTTATTGATCATAACTATTTCATTACTTTGGTCGAAAAACAGGAGAAGAACATAAATATCTACAACTAGTCACAACGCGAGGAAACCAAATCGTGTCCCCACTCGCCTGTCACAGTTTAGCCCAATACATTTGAGAAATGACACTGTCAAAGAACTTTATTAACACACTTTGTTTATATAAAAGGACAATATTGATCACTGGAAATAAAATCATGAAATAACTTACCTGTGTTACTGCATGTAGTACCGTTATACAGAATGAAAGCTAAGGTCGGCGGTTGTCAACAAACAAACGTCCTTCCCAATGTATTTGTCCCCTACACTTCTGGGAAGCCTATCTATAGTTTTCATTTCATTTCCTGGAAGCGAAAGTGAAAGTAGGCATAACACTGAGGGTACCTCAGCGAGTTACGTAATGTAACAAGACTAGTATAACATCGTCATTTGACTTAAATACTCCCCGGAGTTCAATAAATTCAATACTTCGCGTGCCAAGTGTTCCATTCAATAGCCGACAGCCAGGACAATGTATGTGCTGTCACTGTGTAGCCTTACTCCAAGCCGCCTGTACTGAATAGCAATTGTATATCCTCGGCGTTCGAAATTAACGTCGGTCCTTGCCCGAAGCCGACTGGAAACCACTCGGACCCACATCTTTTGTTTTCTGCAGGTCCTTATGGCCGACAGCTTTTTCATCCCCAGTAACTAAGAGTTGTATTTCCATGTTAAAATATAAGGCCTACACATTCTGATCAGGACCCACAAGTTTTAATGGTTCTGGGTCCTTCGGGCCTGCAGCTTTTCAGGATTAAGGGCAAACAATGTGTATCCTTTAAAGAGACACTTCTAAGAACGCCAGTCTGTTATGATTTTCAAAATTTATCAATTAAACTATTAATTGGTTCCTCAAATATTTATGCAAGTCTAGTCACAGAGGCACAGCCTCACGAAAGTTATGTTTACAATGCCAGCTGAGAGTTACCTCCCTTAGTACGATCACCGCTCAATACACAAGAAACACCAATCAATGGGTGTAAGATACGGACTGGGAGAGATTGTATTTTGCTCCCCATCTCTTTTTGGTGGTATAGGAAGGGATAGCCTTCCCCTGTGGAGGACTCACGTCTTAACAGATGGTTTATAGTGTGAGACCTTTCCTGCAAGGCATTGATCACCGGGCGTAATTCAGGTTAGTTTCTTCTGCTCACATTACTGATTTGTCAGGAACAAACCAGTGACTCAACTCCCTGTATGACATTACGCAACAACGAAAATAATTTCACTATAAGGCAATTCATAGTGTGTAAGGCTCACAATATTACAATCATTCCTTGGAGTGATTTAAGGGATTTAGGGGTCAGGGGCTCCTTCCACGAAGCAACCTTTACTAAGGTCAACCTTAACTCCCAGTTAATCAGCCCGTACTTAAGTTATAGCTTGGGTTGGGGATGGGAGGTTGGGTGATGAAGATGTTTATGGAGTAGCAATGTGAATCTCTCTCTCTCTCTCTCTCTCTCTCTCTCTCTCTCTCTCTCTCTCTCTCTCTCTCTCTCTCTCTCTCTCTCTCTCTCTCTCTCTCTCTCTCTCTCTCTCTCTCTCTCTCTATGACATATCCAAGCATGAGCGGTGGTGGGCTAGCCTAGTGGTTAAAGCGTCCGCTCGTCACGCCATAGACCCGATTCGATTCCCAACAAGGGTACAATGTGTGAAGCCCATTTCCGGTGTCCCCTGTCGTGATATTGCTGGAATATTGCTAAAAGCGGCGTAAAACCATGCTCCAAACATGACTTTATTCGCAACAGCGTGACATATTGCGTTAGGGTAGCCTTGTGGTTAAACATTCGCTCGTCACGCCGAAGACCCGGTTTCGATTCCCAACAAGGGTACAATGTGTGAAGCCCATTTCTCGTGTCCACTGCCGTGATATTGCAAGAATATTGCTGAAAGCAGCGTAAAACCCTACTCACTCACTCATTCCAATATAGCTCATTATATTGAATACACAATTTGTCATGACAACACAGACACAGACAATAACTTGCCGATGCTGCATTTATTGACAGAAACATTGCAGATACATACATGACAAACATGGCCAAGTTGCTTCAACGTCAACATGAACAGTAAGATATATCAAGAAAAATTTATATAGAACAGAAAATACATCAGCACATTTCAGTTGGTCCTCTCCAAAGGCAAGTAGAAGTTTACTCCGCTTTTAAAATATTCCACATAATGATACACAGTAATCACATATTCTGAGGACATACCGACAGATAAAACTATCCCTATCGAAAATATACTAAAGTACTGTCGGAAATAGAAAAAAACCCTGTTTTTAGGCTGTTACTCTGTATCCCTAAAATTTACACAATTGCAAATAGCATATGTCGAAATAGCCGACTTCGGCCTAACTGGGCGTTCAGTGGGATGCGTAATACGATATCCAGAAAAAGATGTTTACTCGTAAAATCGGGCAAAAATCGGGCAAAAATACGAAGAGCTGCTGAAAACAATAGATCAGACTATAGATGGCAATTAGGTCGCTCAGCCAGGTATGACGACGGACCGTCGACCCACCTGGCATGAAATGCACGTGCTGCCTACAGGCACAAGGGGTCGTCTCAAAGATATTTTGTGCTTTTTCATGTGTGTTGACTATGTCTCATCTATTGATTAACATCTTACGTGTCTTTCTTTCATAAAGTTTATGTTGAGATATGTAAAAGAGTATGATACCCGAAAACCATAGAAACGCATCGTAGTATATAGGTGGCATGACCACCCGAAAATCGACAGGACCGGATATTATGTGTAAATTGTTATGACGTGCCGTGTACCTCCCCAGTATAATTGCCCTAAAGGATTATCTTATCTTAGCTGATATCTCTATCCCCCAGCGACCGCCTCCGTGGTGTAGTGGTTGGAGCGTCCGCCCGGAGAGCGGAAGGTCGCAGGTTCGATCCCCGACCGTGTCATACCAATAAGACGTTAAAACATGGTACTTGTTGGTCCCTGCCTGGCGCTCGGCATTAATGGGCACAACAAGAACTGGTCGGCTCGGAGTCAGTATAATGTGTCTGAGTGGGGTATTCATGCTTCACTGCAACATGGTATCTCAGTGGGATTCAGCACTATAAAACCAGCTTCAGTCTGGGCTAGTACAAGCAGCCGCACATACACATACACATGCATGCACGTCGTCATATGAGCGAAATATTCTCAAGCACGACGTAAAACCCAATTTCACCTCACCTCACCTATCCCCCAGCCCGACCCCAGATTTTGCTTTTGAGACGACCCCTCCTATCTGTTTCTTTTTATAGTGACAGTGAGACTCCATGGAAGCTACACCCTTAATAGTTTCAGCATAAAAGTTATTATTTTTACGTCAGCTATCGTTTATAATGAATCTACGTCTAATTTCAAATTGGGCATTTAAAAAGTGTCCTTTGTAATACAATATCGTCGCACACTAATTTGCAGAAAGCCATGGTCAGTTCCAAATAAGTCTTTTTGGACGCATTGCTCATTTCTGCACTAATTTCCCCTCAGTAAAGTCCTTTTTCTCCGTTTCCTATGTCCCTCCCACTAAGACTGTAGTTAGTTTAACAGATATTTCGCACTTTCACATATCAACTACATAAATTGTAGATATAAATGAGAAAATACAGTTTTTTTCTATTTCCGACAGTACTTTTAGTACATCTATTTCTATGAACATAATCGAAATCAGAACAAATGTTAACCGACTCCAAACCAAAATCTTGTGCCTTATTGAAAAGCACGAACAGAAAATACGAAAATAAAAAATGCATTGAAGAAAGGAGTGCACATACAGTTCAATATAATATTGTAAGCAATCAAATTGTGAACAATATAAAGAGAATATCATTCCGAGATAAAATCCTATGTTATATACAATATTTATCCCCAAGTACAATGGATTTCAAACGTGTATGGGCCTTGTACAAGTTAGGGAGTTGACAAGAATGGTACAATGATATGAGAACGTCGGCATGGACAACATAAGGTGTGCAACGGTTTCAAGATATCACCGGGTTGACGCTCCCTGAAGGAATTCCCTTTTGCAGTCCTCGCTCTGAATCTAATGGCCACCAACACGCTTTTGGCCACCAACATTGGTCATAATTCGGGGACAGAACACATCATACTAAGATGTCCGCATCCCCAAAATTCCTGACAGACAGAGGACGGACGGGCGGACACAAGCAGATGTCATAATGTAAACGATCGTAATTCGTAAACAACTCAAATAAAATGTCATTCTCAAATTCTGTGGATTTCTGGGGAATGTAAGTGGACCTTCTACTTAGTCGTCAGAACGCTATAATGAGTGTGTCGGCATGGACAACACAAGGTGTGCAACAGTTGATGACATCATTGGCTTGATCCTCCCTGAAGGAGTTCCCTCTTCCAGGCCTCCATCTGAATCTCCTGGCCACCCACAATCTTCATGGCGACAATTTGGGGGCCATGACAAACCCCAAACATTGACCATAATTCAGGGCCTGAACACATCACACCAAAATCTCCCGATGGATGATGTCAAGAAAGCCTATTTTCATTTGATCCATGTCGAGGAGAACCCCGTACTGTAGTCTGGCATACGTGTCCGCATCATTGTCAACCACGTCATCCTTGCTGGTTAAAGGTTTGCCATTCACTGTCAGATTCATTGCAAGAGGACTGTATGTCTGTCTGGATGGAGTGATGGATGGATGGATGGATGGATGCATGCATGCATGCATGCGTGCGTGCGTGCGTGCGTGCGTGCGTGCGTGCGTGCGTGTGTGTGTTTTCCGTATGCGTGTAAACCACTGACGGAACGTGATCCTGACCCACTGGCCTGTTCTACCCAGTGTATCAGTGTTTATATGTAGTATATATTCCACTTCTCTGTGTATTACGTGACATCATATGATATATATGTGGTATATATACCGATTGTCCTCTTGTGTGTGCGTGTGACGTGATATGACTTAAATGTGGTATATATAGCAGTTGTCCTCTGTGTTTGTGCGTGTGTGTTACGTGACAGGATACATGTATATATGTGGTATATACACCAATTGCCCTTTCTCTGTTTCTTACGCAACACGACATAAATGTGGTACACATGCCAACCGTCAACTTTGTCTGTGTGTAACGTGACATGATCTATAGGTGGTGTATATACCAATTGTCCTCTCTGTTTTTGTTACGTGACATATTTATGTGGTATATATACCAACTGTCTTCTTTCTGTGTGTGTTACTTGACATGATATATAGGTGGTACATATACCAATTGTCATATTTGTCCGTGTGTTACGTGACATGATATTTATGTGGTATATATACCAATTGTCATCTTTGTCTGTGTTACGTGACATGTCATTTGGTGGTATATATACCAATTGTCCTCTCTCTGTGTGTTGCGTGACATGATATTTATGTGGTATATATACCAATTGTCATCGTTGTCTGTGTGTTACGTGACATGACATATAGGTGGTATATGTACTAATTCTCCTCTGTGCGTGTGTTGCGTGACATGATATTTATGTGGTATACATACCAATTGTCATCTTTGTGCGTGGGTTACGTGACATGATATATAAGTGGTATATATATACATGTACACTCACTCTCAAGGACCTTCTACTTTTCCCAATTCTCAATAACATCATCAGCTAACATTATATGTAAGTGAAAGTGAAAGTTTGCTTTGCAGCATGAAATAACGGCGTTTTGTCTAGTTCTCAACGATGTATGCTTCCGGCCGTATCAATGCTCGTATTAGCATTGGCAAACTGTCTTCCGCTTCCGGGTAGCTATAGCCATGCTGTACGGAGCCGTTGGATTGGTTGGATTCGCTTATGGAGGCTATCGCACTGCAATTCTCTGGAACCCCTAATTGGTCTCGGGAACTGCATCACCAGCATTGCTCCGTACATCGTGTCGTCCCAACAGTTCATGTAAGACGATACCAAACGAAACAAATCTTAGAATCTTACATCATACAGACGTATAATATATGTGATTGCTGTGAGCTCTGTTTACTCATATATGAGTTCCATTGCTCCTGGGATACGATAATCATGGGTTCGAATCCCAATTTCGTATAACAACACCCGTTCCAGTGTTGTAAATGTTTCATATGCGGAGAATTCTTAAGATTTTCGATGTGTTTTCACAGAATTTTCCTTTATCCAGTTTTGTTCATATGTGTCTGAGAGTGTTTTGGTGACTGACCATCTCAATCAGGAAGATTGCATGGAATGGGATTTTAAACTTATAGTATATTATCCATACATATCTGATTCATGACAACCATTTAAAGGGCCACAGACTTTACAAAACACAACACAACAAAAACGATGGTTCCTTCTTTTTACTGACAATTTCTCTCCAAACGTAACATGACAATTGACATGACAATTGTATTAACAACTGAAATGGTATTCCGTACGTGCACCATAAGGCATATAAAGGTGTACCGTTTTTATTCACAATATGTCCCAAAGAAACTGAATGAGAACCTTTTCAATCAGTTTGCCATGCATCACATCAACACAGATGTATTTTTGTTACTGTTGCTTTAAAGATGGGGTGACATTTTATACAGAGATTGGGTAAATGTACATTTAACAGATCTAGACAATTTGTCAATGTTTTGGAAATAAACACTAGCTATTTATATTAATGCACAAAATAAAAACATAACTCGAAATATATTTCCTCCTTTTCTCAAATTTAGTACCACAGAAAATATGGATCTTCGTTATTATCAGTGTTTACGGTTAGGTTCCACAAAATAAAATACGTTCTTCAGAAATCTAGTGAATTCTGTGGGATTATTTTAAGTGTCGCAGCCAATTGAGCTGTTCATACAAAAATACTAATGAATAAAATGCAACATCCACAACATAAACAAGTAATGTTTAATACAGCTGCTGCCATATTGCACAAATATGGTTCTATATCATAAGCATAAAGAAAAAGAAAGCTCAAAACTAACTGGAATGTATCCGTGTACAACAACATCAGGAACGACGGTTTTGAGATTCTTAGTATAATAATGACGTCTTCAATTTCCAGTAAAGTAGATTCTTCATCTAAAACATTGGTCACTAGTAATAAGATTCATGGGCAGTCAAGTGAAAATGAAGACGTCAGTTTACTTTCTTGAATGCAAAGGTAACAATCGGCTCTAACAAAAGCATTAAAAACAATATCAACCATATCAAACAAACATTTGTTATTACAATTAAAATCAAACTTATTCTATTCATATCGTCAGTCTTGACTCAGAAGTTGAACATAAGTATTCGAAGGAAGATTTCGAACTTTGACTTCTTCCGCTATATCGTCTCTGATATATAAAAATGTCTTGTTCTGGCATCCTCTTAAGGTCACGTTTACTCTCTCATTCATTTGTATTATCAGAGAGTAGGTAAATAAATCAACAAATAAACCAGCGACGTTCTGCATCTGTCACTCAAAACCCGGGCTCATCGACACAGACTTGTCTCACAAATGTTTGTTTTTGGTGTGTTTTTTTATGTTCAAATTTTTTTAGCATTGCCCTATCGACAACAAAATGATACAAGAAGTATTTAATGGTCAAACGGATAAAAGGACAAAATGGTTTCATAGGAGATAGCATCCATTACTATCCTGAATCAGTTACAACCTGGATCTTGGTTTGATTATACATTTGACTATATTCATTCGATTATCTTTGAAACCAATACTTTTTGGTCAAGAGGCATTTTACGGCTGTGAGATGGACCAGGGTTTTATATGCCGCGTGATTCCTGGGTATTTGACGCAACAATTTTGTAAATGACTCTCAAAATATTATCATACGAGTCAAGCTTGACGCAAGTTTTATGGGTGGCCCTCACAATTCAGTTCAATAAAATCGATTTGATAAGCAAAAAAAGATATTGTTCGATGATAGTTTGACTTTTACAGAGCTGTCAGATTGTTCCAGAGTACTCAGAGGAGACAGTAATCGTGGCTGTTTGAATTGAAAAATGCTGTAGTTTCATTTGGTGGTGTTACATACATGCGATTCATACTTGTCATATGCGAGCCAACATATTATTTATCTTTCTAGTATTGTTTCGTTTAATTCTTTGGGGGGTGGGGATCTGAGGGAGGGGAGAAAGAAATTCATAATCAGAGATTCATATTTCAGATATATGCACATTTCAAATAGATTCACATTTAAATCCTCATCTACAGACCTAATCATAACAAACAATAATATTCCGAACCAAACCCACATGAGCATCTCCAAAGGCATCTTACCTAATTGCCTATCAAATGTACTTTTCAAACAAATCACCTATAGCAAGTTCCTTATTCTTCGAACACGCTAGATCACATTTCTTTATCAATTATGCGGAACGGCCATTTATAATCTCTGCACATATTTAACATTTAAGCAAATGTCCAAAAACAGTTGAACTTCATGTGATCCTGAGGGAGCTGTGACTGTAGCCTCAGTATCAATTCCCTTCAGTACACATGTATGGCGTCTTCGAGAAGCTTCTTTTTCCAGTCATCCATCTGTAGATCCGGTCCACTCACGAGTTTCATTTCAACTCTCTTTGGGCTACTATAAACTGCAAATACAGGCCACATCTTTCTCTTGTACCCAGCACTATGTTGTGGCTTGCTGTCAGCAATACATCCAGTTCCCAACACTTCTCTTTTGTTGGTGTCCAGGAAGGATACCGCCATCTTGTCAGTATCAACAAGAACTCCGTACCTTACTGTCACGGATGTTCCTACCTTATTCTCAAACACTTCAGATGTTGCTATATCCTTTCCATTAAAAGCTATAAACCTCCTCACATTGTTCTCATCATTTGATAGGCACAGACTGCATGAATTAGGCTTATCGCCGATAAAATGACTACTGTTCATGACATCCTCTCCACACACTCCGACCTCCAACACAAGGTCTAGACCACCCAGAGGCTTGTCCAGTTCCACATCCGCCTCCACCTCCCAGTACACCAGGTTGCTAGAGGGCAGTGGGGAGGTGCTGCAGGTGCCTCTGTAATTCTTCAACATCTTCCCACTGGTGCCCTGTACCTCCATTCCTCGCCATTCAGGATTTTGGGTGTTGACGAGAAGGCCTTTGTAATTAATGTGTGTTCTGTAAAGGTTTACTCTGTCGGAATCAAACATCATCTTTGGACCTGTCAGAGACAAAATACAATGTTTATAGATAACAGTTAATATCTATCACATATATCGCCTATAAAATTACGCTTGTTTTAGCAGCCTCAGACATATACATATTTTGTCAGATAAATAATGGAATCACAAAGCCCTATATCCCTACCTCACTGGGAATCGTATCCCGACCTCAGTTTGAATCGTATCCTGCTCTACCTCCACCCCCTATGGTTGTTCTTTAACTTCTTTTCAAACTGATTTTGTAGCCATACGTACACTTTGTGTAAGGTCAGTATTCACACACGATGAACTGAATGTCAACCTTGGGCTTAAGCAAAAATTACATTAAATGAAATGTTTCAATACCAAACCATATTGCCTATGTTACTTCATAAGAGCTCAAAAAAAAGCTAAAAAGCTAAAAAGCTAGGCCTTTGTCACCTGTGTATTTTGTACAGGTTTACTCTGTCGGAATCAAACATCATCCTTGAACCTGTCAGAGGATAAGACAAGATACAATGTCTATAAATAAAAGTTAATATCCAGCATACATCGCGTATGTTCTTACGCTTGTTTTAGCAAGCCTTAGACATACACACATTCAGTCGTCCTGGTGGTATCATATATAAGCGGGCTGATGGGGTAGCCCGCTAGTAAAGGTATTCGCTCGTCACGCCGAAAGTCCTAGTTCTATTCCCGACAATCGTGCCTAAATATCGGATGTTACAACTCATAGCATGTATCATTATTGTGATAGTGGAGTTTTTAAAAACTATAACATTTTATGACCATCCTTTCCTATATCTGCACTTAAACATCACTTGGCGGATTACAGTCGAGCTGTGAATAATAACTCGTTTATACATAACAAGTGAACAGGTCATGTTACACTTCCTTGCTTAGTTGTCCTGGAATATGCTTAAACCTTAGAGGAAAATATACTTACATACAACTACATGTCGCCCTCTGTTCACTGCCCCAAGCACATGCAGACACGTGCTTTTGTCGTAGCCTGGAAAAATGGTACCTTAAGCGTTACGTTAATACCAGAAAAGGTATAATGCAAGACAATGCATTGATAATTTTCCGGCTGATGCGTGTAAAGCAACAAAATAGAAAAATAATTGTTTTGAATAATTGTGAATGGATAGCAGTATGTATAAGAAATCTCTGAAAAAGATGAGAATTGAGAAAAATGTAATTATAACAGTTCTAAGAAAGATGAAGGAGTTTGTAAGGAAAGAAAGCTTAAAGTTTAATATGAATGATAACTAATTTTGATTTATTCTACTGGAATTGCTTGGGGCTTGTCTGCCAATGCAATGTTACATGCATAACGATTTATGACGTGGATCGTCCTTCGTGTTTGGATGGTAAATTGGTTGTCGAATATGGTTCATGGTTAAGATAGAACCCAAGGACAGTTACTCTCACCCCATTGTACCCCTGTCGGCGTTAGAAATACTCTTCAGACCAACGAGACCAACTCCTGACTTGGTTGATGTCATCGTAACGAGACTGATACTTATGATGTCAATCACTGCACTGTGTTGTCCAGACTTGATTGTTTACAGGCAGATGTAATATAACCCCAGTATTGCGGCGTTACAAACTCACATTTTATGCGTAATGATGAGGAGGCCTATTTAATAATGGTGAAGTGTAAGTGAAACAGTAAAACAATCCAAATTTCAACAAGTGTGAAAGTTACCACACGAGACACACGAAAACAAAAGGTTCGTAGCGAAGCAAATAATGACAAGACAGGGTTTCTGATCATCTACGACTGTATTGTCCACTGAAGAACATGGGCACAATGTGTTAAGCCCATTTCTGGTGTCGTGATATTGCTGGAATATTGCTAAAAGCGGCGTAAAACTAAACTCAGTCAGTCAGTCAGTCCACTGAAGAAACTTACCAATGGGGTCCAGCTGACTTACGATCCCCTGAAGTCTGGATAAATCCTCCTGCAAAGTCTTCACCTTCTGTTCATTCTGAGAGGCCTCCTTTTCCAGTGCACTGATTAGCTGGACGGTATAAACTAACAGAGCACTTTCAACATCTGAATATGTTTTAACTGTGACCATCGCTATTAAACATGTTATTCCAGTGACAATAGGTTGAGTGACTTCTTTTTAGTAATAAGCACATCATTTGCGACAGACAAAATGTATTAAATTTATAAACCAATAGAGCTACCGTACGTCTGCGTCTTGCGTCCTTCATAGTTTGGAACATAAACTCCAATTTTAAGGATTTACCGTCTGAGCCTCTCTGTTCTGTGTCTGAAAGTCATGAATATCTGCTTCCAGTTCCATCTGAAGACCTGAAGAAAACATTAACAGCAGATATAGCCAGGAAATACACAGGGTACAACGCTAGTAGGGCTTTAGACATGTTATCCTCATTCCAAAACATGCTTATTGATGGAACAGGAGTAACCAATTCATAGCATGTAAAATACACTTGTTTTTGAATAACATGAACGTAAACCGTAGTTGATACAAGTACTGTTCTGTCAAAGCTGAAGGCACCTGCGTGAATACTTCGAGGTAGCCCAGATTCGACAGAACCGATGAATTACGAATAATGAATGCATACAAAGGGGAAAACATTCACTTCTAGACAACCATAGGTTCGACACAGCAGAGTGTGACTAATAGAGAATACTACACGAGGTCTCATTACATACGAATTATACGAAACGAGTGTCCTTCTTATGGTATCTGACCGAGCGAAAGCGAGGTCAGATAACATAGGAAGGTCACGACTTTCGTATAATTCGTATGTAATGAGACCGAGTGTGGTATTTTATTTATTACCCACGTCTTACATGCATTTAAATTGGCAAAATAGCGTATTTTTGTTATGTTTTTGGTTTCAAACCGAAACCGGTTTCATAAAGAGGTTGCGGAAGAGTTTTGTACTGTAGTACAATATTTGCATGACGTCACACTAATGACGTCACTGCCATGGTAACCGACGTCACGATGCATGTCAGTTGTCATCGCCTCGTACAGCCTCCTACAGTAAACTACTCCGTTGCACCTCGTTTCTTGGTTTCCAGTTGCTTCATTCGGCTAACATCACTGGTGGAAACATTGCGTTTATGTTTTCGACAGATATAATGTCTCAGTTCGACTCACAATTAAACAGCGACACGGCAACGTTCACAATGTTTACATTCCCACAATGCATTTAAGTTGTAGAATGAATGAATTCACGTGTTTGTTATGAATGAAAAAATAGTTACGTCAGAATGTGACCTAATTGAGAGGTCATCGGTTATCCAATCAAATCGTTAGAATTTCAGGTCAAGTCGTTACGACACAGGTCAACGCGATACGACACTCGTGTGACGTACGAGATTAATATGCAACTACCCATACGTTGACCACGTGGGTAATAATTACAAATATCCTTCAGTAAACATATACACCCTTCCGACAAACACACCACCGAGAACACACTCGAACAAATGTATCACTATAATTTTCAAATAATAGAAAGTATTAATAATTAGAAAATCTGAAGGTATATGTACACATAACATTTTATATCCTCACCTCGATCTGGTTAAAAAAGAACGTAAAAAACAAAGCGACAGTTACCTGTTTTAAGTGATGCTTCCATAGGTGATTCCGTCTGGGTAACTGAAGTCATGAAACTACCAAAGGATGATACCAAGGATTTCAAATCCGGTAAACCTTGCTTTGAGAAGACGACACACGGTTCGCATTTGTGAACAGCAGGAACGTCAGCCTTTATGCAAGACTCAAAGGCCTGTGTGATGGAACTATTCAGTTTGTGGAGGTGGGAAGGTGAGGCGTAGAGGAAACTCTCGTTGATGTAGTCAAGGACTGACTGGCAGCTTGTCTCTGATGACTCCAGCACTTGTGGTCGCATGTCATTAATGTTCCTCATGGAGTCTAAAATCTGATCCAGCTCCACAAGCACCGCCTTCTCTCGCTGACCTATCACATCTCTCAGCTCAGAAAAAGTGTGTTGAACGGTGTCTCGGAGGGGAAACGGCCTTCTCGTCAGTACGTCTTGCTTGTACAAGAACTGTTTCTTTTGCTGAAATGATCTTTTCCTTCTTCTCTGAAGCATATTTTATGTATGCCTTCAAGACGTCTTGTTCACGACTCAAGAACATATCAGCTCTATCAGTTCTGTGACTGGTGTGATCTTCGTAGTGGCATTGGAAACAGACGAAACAGTCACAGTCTTTATCATAGACGTCCAAACGTTGTCCGTGTTTCTCACAGACGGACTGGGATCTTGTCGATGTACATGGAAGATCAGAAATCCACTTCATTGTGTGATTCCTAGTTGCTTTCACCTCTGAGTGAGATATATGGCAGTGCTCGCAGAAATAGTCCTCACATTCCTGACACCAAGACATTGCCTGGTTCTCATCCACCTTGTTGGTACATTGGAAGTCAGACGGTCGGTGCTTCATTGTCTGGTTGAGGACCCCACGAAGAACAACATCATCTACTAGGAAACTCCCAACATTTTTATCATGACTCTTCAAGCAGACAGTTCAATCTAGAGTTGTGACTTCCGGTGATTTGAGGCAGTCTTCACATACAGGATGTAGACAGGGAAGCAGGTGCGGCTGTGGTCCTCTGTACCTGAAGGAGGTGCTGCACACCACACAGTTGGGGGACACAGGGCCTGAATCCATCCTGTAACAAACACATCGATGACCTCTCATCATATTACAACTTTGAAGATGTATTTCATACACTGACAAAGTATTTCAGATTAGAAAAATATTTGAACCTGATCATTTGATTTGATGGGTCTTTATGCATCTTTGGGCAATATCTATATATACTGAACATCATTGAAAACGCACCACCTGTATTAGTTTGGATTTCCAAGAGCATAAATGAGCAATCGGTGTAAATTTTACATGCTTTTGTAGTCCGATGATTGGTAAAGGAAAGAAACAACAACCAATCCAGCAAAATAGTGAAGTTTTAATTCAGCTGACCATGAAAGAAAGATAGAGTCATATTGGAAAGTCAGTAACGTGTATGACCACCGTTAGCACCAACATTCTTTTGCTGTCTTTTGTGTTATTAACAACATTTCCAACGTTCATTTTCACTCTCAAAACAATCCTATTACCATATTTCAAAATTTACAGATGGTGCGTTTTCAATGATGTTCAGTATATTACGGTATTAAGAATGGGATTCACACATTGTTACCTTTCTTGGCAACTGGTCGGTCACTGTCGAAAGCTTGATCTTTGGTCATTCAAACGTTCACAAATTCACATGGAAAGTCACATGCACATCATGCCAAGATTAACATGTGCTCAACGTCATGAAGCCATTGGAAGCCATTTAAATGTCAAGGCCATCTATGGCCGACAAGTGAGTATGATTGCCGATGGGTTTGGAGAAAATGCCTGCTTACTGTCGAGGAAATGATTTGTAGATGCTGCAATAAGTTTTTAGACCCGTGGAATGCCGCGGCCGATCGAATCTTGCCCCACATAGGTGCTGTCAACGTGGCTAGAATTAATAAACGGTGCGCCTAGTGGCAGCAAGAGTTGTATGATCCCTAGGGAGTTGAGATTGATAATACGATGTGCCGTTGAGAATGACATCCAATGATCGAGGGAAAAAATACCAGCACCTTGAGCATGCACTAGTTACCTGGATATGTGCGTTATATAAATATCCTATAATAATAAATAATCCTATAATTATTATGTACTTTCCAACACACACCCTCTAATCAGGTTTGAATAGAAAGCTTGAGAAATTAGGTCGGGCTGTCGGTGAGCGCGGGTTACATCCTACTCTATTATAAGGCATTCATTGACTACACCTTTGTTTTTCGTTTAATGAAGGGTTTCATTCGAGATCGCATGAGCGCATGAATACAAACACCGGCTCATTAACTTTCTGATCTGTGACGTCATGCACCCATTTGACTATGAATGAGTTCTCCTGCATATTAATTTCCCTCAACCAAACGAAGGTCCTGCTCCCACTCTATATACTACTGTCATGTGTAACATATTACGTATTATCCGCTCGTCACGCCGAAGACCCGGGTTCGATTCCCCACATGGGCACAATGTGTGGAGCCCATTTCTGGTGTCCCCCGCCGTGATATTGCTGGAATATTGCTAAAAGCGGCGTAAAACCATACAGGTGATTCTTAAACCTGTTTAGAGATAAACATTTGCAACATATGGTAATAATTATGTTAGGGTGTGTTTTTATCAAATAATATTATGTTCACCTTTCTTTTAGTTGTAGGTGTTTTAGAGGTTTAATTCTTTATAATAAATAAATAAACGAAAACAAAACAATACAATATACGAGTGCTTCGGTGATATTAAGTACCATTGGAATCAAACAGGAATAGAGTTATCGTCCTTGTTTAAAAGTATTTCTGATGCGCCAATATGAAATCCTTCCAGAGGGGCACGAGTTGCTATTCGGCTTGTCTCGGAATA